TTAGTAATTTCAGACAATGTATTTACATATACACCTTTTGACGGAACTGTCCGTATAATTTAAATTAAATTTTTTACACGTTTACATTTATGTATGTAACACATTTATTATTAACTTTGTAATTATTATTATTATTATGAAATAAATATATTATATACAAATAAAAACATTTTGTTTTTTATTTTAGATTATAAGTTTATTATAAGAAACTAGTCCAATATATATAGTTATTGTTCATAAATTATTAATATAAGTTAATTTTCTGACGTGATTGGGTTTCGGCCATTGTGAAGCCCATGGACTATAACTATTTTCTCGGGTAAACACTGTTGTATTGAAAAATGCCGAACCGTCATTTTCGTCATACATTTCTGCTTTTTCCTAAAACAAAATTATAAATTTAATAACAATAAAGGTTATGACAATTTGTATTCATTATACAAATATTATTATTCAATTTGTATTCATTAATTTGAGCGTACCCTCGGACCATGACTTGACTCTGCGATCAACTATTACATTGTATGCTAAATTCTTCAACTCGCTTATGTAATTACTGTCACCTTTAGGAATAGTATCGCATATTTCTTTGTCGTTCAAACTTCTTATAAAATTAACCATTTCATCATTGTTTAATTGTTGAATTTTAGGGCCCGACCATTTACCGTCGGCGTATTGTATGATGCGGTCTATTTGATGGCTTATTAGTAAACGTGTTTTTATTTTTCTTGATATTGTACTGTTAATAGTACACTGTAAGTCCATAAGTCTATTAATGTTTTCGTTATTGAATAACATTCGACACCCATCCACCATCCTTGATTCTAATACTGGTATCACGGTACAATACTTTGGTTATATTAAAATCGACATTTTGGTATAACACAATGTTCTCTCCTTTTACCGGAGGTGATTGTAGAAATAATGTTATTCCATTCATCATGCCGTAAATAATTTTTAAATAGTCTGCTGACATACTAATATATCGTGAAGGAGTAATAATGCATACCGTAACATTGAAGTCCTCCTTTGGATTCAGGCTCATTTGCAAAAATTTTCTGTCGCTGAACGCAATAGTGTAACTGCTAGAGTCCATCATCTCGGCTGGCGGTATTGGTGTGATATAAATGTAGCGCTATTTTCTTACAGCCTTATTGTTCATAGAGTAGAGTCTTCTTCTTAGAGCTGATGATTCTTGATGACACTCTGACTTTATCAACGATTTCACGCTCATTTATGCGGAAAAATCGCATATTTTCATAGGGGGGTCAACAAATCACAGATCACATATCCCCATAAACTAACCCATTCCTTCGCCACTTAAATGTTTTTAACTTATAATTACTTATTAATTACAATTTATTAAGTAATTTCTAAAAAGTATTCCTTTCATATGCCTTTCACCATATCTCCAACCATTTACACCTTCCGTCTACCTATGGCAGGGTAAACCCACATCATGTGGGTTAGGGGGGATCTTTATTCATACATTATACATCTACTCATGTAGCTTTTGGAATAATACACCAATTTTTTAAAATTAAACACTATCTACAGATTTGCATCGAAGCATTTTTTATAATAGTGATTTTAATCACTGTCAAATATCATCTATACTGGACCCAACTATGTCACGTCCCCACTGTGCTGGGTTTTTAGAATTATTCTTCAGAAAATCCGCTACTAATATATAAATATAATTGAGAAAAAAGTAAAAACATTTCTAAATAATGTTAAAATACAATATTCTATTTGAAAATTAATTACTAGTACTTGAATTTATAAAATAAATCTTAAAAGTAGAATATTAGAAGAAAAACTAAATAAATTTTCTATAAACAAATTAAGTTTTTATGTATAATGTATTAAATTCAAAGCAATTTCAAACAGCATGTTTTATAACAAACTTTATCTGAAAAAATTATTTTAGTTGTATACCCGGTAAAAGATTTGTGACATATTAATAACCCCACCATTTTACAATCACAATTAGATCTAATAATATTATAGTAAAATGATATACCAAATGAGTTTAATTTATTTTAAACAATATAACCAGATTTAGTGATGTATTCTTTAGCAATTTCATAATAATTACTTGAGTAATTCTTAAAGGACGAAGCAAACATTAAAATTTAATTTTTATAATACTTGTTTGATGGGGAATTTTACATAGGCATCACAGAAAAATATCTGGTTCCAGATGCTTGGTTCGAGATAACATTAATTAAATTTAGAAACTATCATACATCAATTAAATACATACAAATAACAACTGTTATTATTTATTTTTAGCTAGTACATTATATTTTTTTTAACTCATAAATTTTAATTAAGGTATAATGTACTCATTTTTTACTCGATTCTTAGTATTTTCTTATAATTTTTAGAAACGTGTTCAGATCAAAACGTAATGGAAATTTTTATTTTTTATTTTTGTAAGAGTTTATTTTATAACGGTTTATAGTAGAATAAATGATCTATTTTTCTATTTAAATTAATTTGGTATGATGTAAAATATATATCTCATTTTTTATTATTTTATTAAAAATAGGTTCAGGGTCCATTTTACAATAAATAAGTAGGTCGTCTAGCGCCAAGATAGGATATATGTATGAGATATTTAAGATTTTGACGTAGGATAGTTATATAAATTTTGTAACCGCCATAATTTTTTAGATTTGCCCTTTATATAATATTGTTGAGCAAAAAAATTAGTTTTTTTTCTCATATAGTTGTCAGCTTTCATGGACTCAGGCACTTATTTATAATGATAATCTTAAAATATCTTATAAATCATAACTACCAATATTAGAATAAAACATTTTCTTTTATCGACCTTATGTTGACAATATTTGTAACTTATGCTCTTTAATATTGAGATTGACTCCTAAGATTTTTGAGTGGCTATTGCCACTCCGAATCATTCCCTAAATACGTTCTGAATATATTGGTATATAGAAGATGGTACATCATCTAAAACTGCTACAATTATCGATAGTTTTGTATTGATACTAATACAAGATATTTTTTCTTTTTGCTTATCACATTTTTATGAACTCCAGTTTTGAATACAATTTGTAGAAAATACAAAATTTTAGGTATTTTTAGATGTAACATTTATATCTTATAAAAGAAATAAAAAAATAGACATTGTTTGAATTATTATTTAACTTTTTTGTGTTACTTTTGTTATACATAGTTTGGAATTATTTAAAGTTAAACTAAAACCAATATTTTGAACATATTTTCTTAGCGTGCAAAACATAAGAGGTCACGTATATATTAGTTTCAATTATCATGCTTTAACTGTTATTTTTATTTAAATCGAATACGTTTAATAGTATGAATATCATATTTCATAATGTCTTTTATGAAATAAAATCGATCAAAACAATTATGTATCATAGAAAGCGTAAAAAAATCATTCAAGGAGATTATTGAGCTACTTTAGAAAAATTAATACCTAAGTCTAATAAAATTTTTTATTTTATTAAAGTAAATTTTTTTTAAAGTTATTAATGTTTCAATTAAAACATTTCAAACTCAATAAGCTACCTAAAAAATGGGTTCTCTTAATACTGAAACGGTATAAAATATTTGGATAAATATATTTATAAAATTATTCAGGTTTGTAGATTTAAAATATGATAAATATTGAGATTAATGTGTCACATAGTTATGTGTAAAGTTATTTATTTAAAAGATAGTTAATTAAAATAAATAAGTCTTAGAGTGCTAAGAATATAAAAAGTTTTGAATCATGTTCTTCACTTAAACACTTTAAGACTTTAAAATTTTATATTTAAATTTTTTAAAGCTACTTTTAGCTATGTTATTATAGAAAACAAATCTGTATTATTCAAAAGTCAATAATAGGAGGAAAGAAATAGATTAAGGATTTCTACAGCAAATTAAATTTAAAATAATATCTATTTTTTAAAACTTTTTTTATTAATTTAATAATAAAAAATTTATAGAATTACCACCCTAATGATATAATTACCACCCTACTCAATTTGTTACAAAGTTCCAAGTTAATCTATAATGTAACGTCTTATAATTATTTGCAATATGTATATATATATATAAGTATACTAATAAATTATACTTTTAAATAATATATATGTATATTTTAGAGAAAAAAAATTATTTATACATAGCTAAAATAATTTCTAAGTTTTTATTTAGTATAAAGAAATTTTTTAAGTATATTTTTTGAAAAATAAAATAGTTAATAAAATCCAATATTAAAAATTAATCCAGGAAGTATTTTATACTTAATTATATTTTTAACCGCAAAAAATATACTACTAATTGTCCTTACTTACCAGAATAGCAAGATATTTAATTTTTTGGTTTTGATTATTTAATATAACTATAGTTATTTATTTTTAAAAATAGTAAAAATAATTAATTATGCCTAGATAAGCAATTTATAATTAACTTTTTGAAGTATAACAAGGCTAAGAGCATTATGTGATTAAATACAAAAATATCATATTAAATTATTAATAAAGTCAATATGTAACATACATTTTTTAACTTACGCAAATAACTTAATGAACTTTTACTTGAATGTTTTAAAAATCTTTGTTTAAAGTCATTAATTTTTTTTTTTGTATTAACTCTTTCGCTATGAAATATCCTAAGTATGTTTACATTTCTATTACATCATTATGCATTTCTTTTTGTTTGATAATGGATAAAAAAATTACTAGGTCTATTATTAAGTTTTGTTGTTTAACTAACAGCGTGTGACCAGAATCCAGAATATGATCATTTTCAAGGTGGTTTGTATGTCCATAGGCAAGGATCAAGAAGATAAAATTTTCAATCAAATTGCATTCTGCCTAATTGAATGTTTTGCGTGGCAGGGAAACCCACAAAAACTCGGTGGCGATTCGGCTGGAGGAACACGTTAATCAATGACACTGTGTGACGTAAACAAAGCGGTGTATCCGCACTCTTATGGGATACTGTTGACTATTTAACTCCATACGAATTTCCCTCAGACCACAATACAGTGTTGACCGTTGTGAAAACAGTTACTTCAATAATTTTACGATAAATTTATAAAACTCACGTTGATTTTGGAAATAATTAAAAAATGCTTAAAATGTACACGTTTTCTATTGTCATTTTGACATTCTTAGCGCTAATAGACGTCGAAGCCGCGCCGTCCAAGTATACCACTAAGTTTGATAATATAAACACTGACGATATACTTAACAACGATCGTTTGCTCAATAACTACTTCAAATGTCTTATGGATCAAGGCAAGTGTACTCCCGAGGGCGAGGAACTGAAAAGTAAGTACTATATAAATCATAACCTTATGGACTTTAATAAGTGACAGGGTGACAATCTTTTAAAGCTGTATAAAAAAATTAGTTTCAAATAAATCTGATTTCAATCACTAAACTTGAGTGTTTTTGAAAATAAAAATAAAATATTTAAATTATTAATTATTTAATATTTCATTTTTTTTATATACATTTCTTTAGTGTGTTACCGTAGCATTAAAGTCTTTTTATACTTTTTTACTGTACAATTCACATGGCTATATGATATTTCTCATCCCTCTTAATTATATTTATTTAATAGCTTTATTTATTATATTTAAAAATAGAATTAAAATTTACTTATTTATTAAGATATACTTAAGGTGTAAAAACAGCTTCTAATGTTATAAAGATCGTTTTCTTCATTAATTTAAAGTATACCTTGCCAGAGTTTAATTTTAAGATCACGTTTTAATAACAACTCAAGATTCTTATTCAGATAATCGAGTCAATATTTTCTATTATTTGTTAATACTATTAAATCACTTAGTAGTGCACTTACAATGTTATGCAACTTTGTAATATCCTTTATTTATAAACAATATTTTTATAACTATATCATAAACTTAAGAATATCATTATTTTAATATCGTTCTATTGCAATTGTATCTCAAGATAAACTTTAAAAATAGAAAAGTGCTCTCGTGACTATGATACCTTACTGCATTAATTCTAGTACCTTATTATCATTTATTAATATTTATTTAGCTCTTTGAAACCTTAAATATATTTTTTTCAAAACGTTATTGGACAATTTTTAGGTATAGGTATTCAAGTTTTGAACAGCGCTTTTGGTAATACTTTCCAGTTTATGCCTCCAGAGTTAATAAGTACCATTAATGAAATGCAACGAGAAATTAGTATTGCATATTTGAAAGAAGTCGACAATGTTCAACAACACCATTAAAGATTCTTAGAACTTATATTATTTCTTCTAGAATATTTTTGAAATTTAACTATAAGATAATGATACTTTTGTTTAACTGAAATCTTATTTATAAATAGCTTAATAAAATTCAACTTCAAGTACACCTAAAGACTTCTCAATTAAAACAATGTACATGTACTAAAATAATTTTCTTTAAATTAATTATATTATAACAAATTTATGATGAATTGATAATGACATAATCCATCTCAGATAATATATTATGTATTAGAATATGTATAAGTGAACATTACCTTAAACTTAACAGACATTTTCATTACAACTCGTAATTCTAATTTTTTTTTTTTATCATTATATGATAAAAATAATTTAGATTGTCATTCTTTTCATAAATAAAAAACACGGAAAACATACATAATAATATAGTATAAAAATAATTTTAAACAAGGGCTAAAATAAATTTAGCTTACACAGTTTTTTAAACTTCATATATATGGCTGTAATCAGGACCGGCATTAAGCCCAAGTCACTCATGCACTTGCTTAGGGTTCAAGCGCTTTAAAAGTGCTTATATGCATAAATAAAATTTTAAAAAATTACTTTTACTAGAAAAAATATAATAAAAGTCATACAAAAACATTTTTTTACTGGATTCCACAATACTAACGTCAACGCGAATTGTAATAGTTAATCTATCCTTTTTTAAGACTTAAAACTCGTGAGATTTCTATATTAATATATTAAGGATATTTATTTATATTAAATTCTTGGTGTATTTATAATTTTTTAAGTACAAATTTTAAAAATGCTGTAATCTATTTCTTAAATATTAATTAATATTAACTGACAAAATTTTTGATTTTAGAATGGATACCTGACGCAATCGATAATGATTGCAAAGATTGTTCTGAAAAGCAAAGAAAAGAAGCGGAAAAAGTTATTAAATTCTTACATGATAAGAAAGACACAATGTGGAAACAGTTAGAAGAAAAGTATGACCCCACTGGTAAATATAGAGAGAAGTATCAAAAAGATGCCGAAAGACTTGAAATTAAAGTTTAAATAAGACAATTTTTTCTATTAAACATGGAATGAATATTCAATTTTTTTACTTATATAATTATATAATATTATAATAAACAAAATATGTTATCATTTATACAAAATCAAAAAAGTAATATTCATATTTATACACTTATAGTTAACGTGATGTGTGTTGATTTTTAATTATATTGTTATTTTAATCATTTTAATTGAAATGTACAATTATCATTTTTTATATATAATAATACAAGAAATTTTTATCCAAAATTTATTTTATTTTCAAGGAAGTTAAAATAAAATTGGTGTAAATAAATGTTTACTACTACCATCGAAGCAAATTAATTTTTTTAGATAAGTACTAAAGTACTCGCTGTTTTGGTAGCCACTGGCATGAAATCAAATAACTAATCTACACCACTTTAATCTTATGTATTTTATATTTGTGTTCTTTTATATGTGCAACGAATAAGTATAGGTATTCTTATTTTTATAATTAGAGTAGAACAATATTTATTAATTTATTCTAAAAAATGTATATATATATATATATATAATCTATTCATTTATGTTACAACAAAACAAAAGTGACCTTGGATAATGTGAATGAAGTAAATGTTTTTTAAGAACAATACATAAAATACATAACTTCTAACACGATAATTACTGTAAATTACTACTGTTGCTATTTTTAGGTGGTTATCATTTTTTATGTATTAGTTTTGCATGAAAAAATAAGTAATAAAAACAATTTTTTTTTTAATTAAATTTCATAATCATATCATTTAATACATTCGTACTAGACAGTAGTTAATAAGTGAGTATTACTTCATGGTATTATAGATCAAGATTAATTACATAACAAAAGTGAACAAGGTAAAGTACTTACCTATTATTATTAAAAAAAAAAACAATGCATTAATTAATTTTATACTCATTCCTAAAATTACTAGTTTTAAAAATGTTCACATTTTTCCAAATATAAAATCTATTTTATGTCTGTTTTAAAAATATTAGGTTTTATTAAATAGCACACACACAATATAGTAAAGTTATTTATCACATCTTTATATAAAATTTTGCGAAAATACTAAATCTAGTATAGTTATTAGAAAAATATAAAATTCATACTTATTCTGATACAATGGATATAAGATTTGTAGCAAGTTTCAGGTTTTCTATTTTAAAGATAATACTAGGACTTCAATAAGTTGCACTGAAGTAGATACGAAAATATATTTTTTTTCTATTATTTATCTCTTGAAAAAAACAACAGTTGATTAATTGTAAAGATACTTACCGAGCTGGAGAAATAATTTCAACAGAACTAGTTAAAATTAGTTAAATGATATACTTTTAGTTTTTCTAATGTTTTTAATTTATTAATCAATATTTATATATTTTTCAAAGAAAATATTATTTAATTTATAAAAAATATAATCATAGAATCGAAAAATTTATAGTTTTTTTTTTAATTGAAAAATAATAATTATTTTTTCATATTTATTATAGTTATATTTAATAATAAATAATTGATACGTTTCAAGGGACAATGTATTTAAATCAAATTTGTCCCTTGAAGCTCGCCAGTAACCAATTTCTGCTGTTGTTAAATATATTTTTTGTTTGTTAATTTGTTTTTATTAACTTTGAATTGTCAATTCGTAATTTATTAAAAGAAAAAGTTGAATCTGAGCTTTAAGAATAAAGTTATATATATATATATATATATATATATGTATTTTATAATCTTTTCTATTTCTTTACAATATGAAATACATTATTTTAAATAAATTTATTTATCTAAGTTAAAACATTGTATGATAAAAAATATAAAAATTCATGAAAAAAAAATTATTTTGTCCATTTGAAAAAACGGCTCTGGCTTAAATAATAAATTACTAAATATAAACCTATTAAAAGAGTATGTAATGTTTGATTATATTTTTAAGATTATATGTCAAATGTGTAGTATAATTAGTCTTACTACGGCGTTGTTGAGTATTTGTGGTGTATTCAGTGTGTGTGACGATGCTGATAAACTGTACTTCTTCAACATAAATATATTTTAATCATTTTATAAATGCATTAATCAGGTTTTATGTTACATTTCATTAAATAACAAGTTTAATTAGCATAATAAAAATGAGTGATTTGACATAGAGATGGAAATCGAATAAGACATTTATTATTATATCTTCTTTTTCTTTTCCTAATCTCAACTATTTGGGGTCGGGCAAAATTTATTAATAAAAAAGGGATTGCATATATATATATCATATAGGCTTATTTTGATTACATTTATTTATTCGTAGATGAAAAATTTTTAATCAAGAAATCACAAGTTGTATTTACTTATGTTAATGCTTCTCATAAAATACCTATTGGTAATTCAGAACTTTATGTACACCATTTGTTCATCGCATAATTAAAATGTTTCTGGCAGCTGACCTGAAATGGTTTACTACAATGAGATTTTACAATATAAAATATTAGATATTTATCTAATCTGATATGTATTGAGTTAAAGTTTTATTTGGACATCTTTATGTAAGTCAAACCATGCATGAGAATTAAAACAAAATTAAAGGCGCGGAGAAAAAATCCGCTGAGAAAAGTGAACATAGGTAATTAAAGGATAAGCTATAATTGAACTTGGTAATACAATTCAATCAAACATTTTGGTTTGATTAAATCATTAAGGTAAATTTTATTTAATGTTACAAACGTAAAAATAATTAGTAGTTAACAATATTTTTGTTAGAAAGTAAGTTGTTAACTATTAAATAGATTGAAATAGCACAAAGATAACAGTAAATAATTATTCCAATCACTTACCTGAACAACACAAGTAACATGGGTCACCAACCTGCTACTGTATGCACTCATTCATCAAGCATGTGAAATAAAAATGTAAGCGTCGACGAAAATGTGGAAAACTCGGTCAAGGAATAATTTATCACAACATGGAAAATTCGATTTGGATACGCCGTTTAAATGCTGGCTCAAGGCGGTTTAATAATAATATTTATTGTTTTATTGTTGAATTTTGCGTTCGCATACTAAATAAATGCACATTGTAAAAACTCAGTTACACATTAACAAAATTAAATGAGCGTTAAAAGAACAATGTCCTGGTAAGTGGACAATTTTATATGAATTCATTTTCATGAAATTATAACCTGAATTCATACTTTACTGCATTGCTATACATACATATTTTCAAGTAAATTTTTTTCGGACATGGGAACTACAGTTTCGGTTCGTCGGTTTCGTTTTTCTCTATTGATGCTTGTAATTCTAATAATAACAAGCAATGAACTGTGAAACCAAAATCGGAAAAAGGTCACTTCCGTACAAACAAATAAGTTTAAAACTCTGTCGTATGTGTCTAAGGACTACAGTCATCAATAACAGTATCGTGTGGAAGCTTCAATTTAGCTATTAGTTTTTATCTGTGATTGACAAGGGATCAATATTTATCAGGTAAAAAGTCATGTTACGCTTTGTTTCAGTGGTGTTATGTTTAGTATCGGTAGTATTCTGTGTGCCAGTTCCTCAGCAGCCAGCTCAAACTGGGCAAATACCGCCCGCTCAACATACTAATCAGCTAGGTCAAGAAGGGCACCGTCAGTCTATTCAACCGTCTAACCAAAACGAGCAATCTCATCCAACCCAACCAATTCAAGTAGGGCGTCCTCAATCTATTCAAGAACCCAATCAACGGCAAAATGAACAAAAGCAGGCAGTTGAACATTTCACCTCTAGTCTGGTGGAAAATCCACACATTCGGGAAAGATATTTAAACTGCTTTTTAGAAAACGGACCTTGCAGTCCCGATGCAAGGAACGTCAAGGGTGAGTTTTATCAATCAGTATTTTTTTAACATATAACTTAGCTTGAATCATTAAATAAATCGATGAAATCATCATAAATTTACAAGGAAGATTATAAAAATGTTGATTGATTATTCCCGTAGAAGTTTATATAGTTATAATATTTTAGATCTGCAGTGAATGTACTTCTACCTTGAGTATAATAGATGTCATGTACCTAAAACAGCAAACCACCTACTAGGATTTTAATTTTTTTGTAAATTCAAGTAAAATGTTCATTTTCTAATTGATTGCAAACAGCTATTATTTTTAATTATGCATAAATAACACTAATAATATTTTTCACTTGAAGTACTCTTGACTACCCACAAAATGTCCAGAAAAGTAAAGATAAAATTTATAATTTATTAATTAATAAAGACCCACTGATCTCGTCTTTTAATCTATACAGAGTGATTGATTTTATCTGCCAAATAACTTCTAAAATAATAATTTTGATAATTTTTTTGCTTATTAATGTAGTATTTGTTTCTAGATTTATAAGAAGTTAAATGGTTTCTAGGTTTATTCTTTAACCCTTAGAAGGGCATTCATTTAATTTGTTTTAATGGAACATACATGTTTAATTAACTCAGAGATATTCATATCTCTAATATAAGAATAACATGTTCCATTCCTTACCTCATTTAAAAATATTAATATAAGTTATTAATATTTTTATTAAGTTATTAAGTTATTAGTATTTCTTAAGTAGAAATACTGATTCAAAAGTTGTTATCGACAAGTTATTTTCTTTGGGGTAATTTTCTATTATAGTTTAATATGTATGTTACCATTTGAAAACATTAAGTTAATGCCCTTATAAGGGACAAGGAATAGTCCTAAAAACTATTTAACTTCCTATAAATCGAAAAATAAATGTAAAATATAATAAATTTTTTTTTTCAAAACTATTATTATGTTAGAAGAGGGTGTAACGATAAATCAATTACTCTGTATATTTTTACCGAGAAAAGAACTGAAATAAAAATAAAATAAATATTACGTGCAAGACATATAGACATTATAAAAAAGTCCTTCGATTCACGCCTCTCACTGAACTAGAATTTTTGAACGCATAAGTGAAAAGTAATTTTACATGTGATTAAATAACTTTAAGTTTAAAACAAGTATACGCATATAGTAAAAATAAGAAAATAAATACATGATTTACTGACTGTTAAAAAAGATCCGTATTGATATATATTAATTTTTAATAGTTATTTAATATGAAAAAGATAGTATAACATCTATTAATTTTAATAAATTACTGAATTGCATAAAAATACCATTAAAAATAATTTTGGTCTATTTGTCATAGCAGAAATGATTCCAGAAGCGCTTGAAAATGAGTGTAAACTGTGTAATGATATCCAAAAAAAAATCATTGAAAAAATGATGTGCTTTCTGAATAATCATCAACCAGAAATATTACAGAAAGTGACCGCTAAGTTTGATCCCCAAGGAGAATACATGAAACAGTATATAAACGCTTTAGAGAAAAAACAAAATGAAGAGGTTCAAAAGCAGTTACAATCAGCTGGAGAAACGACTTTATTGTTACAGACGACAACTAAAAAACCTTGAACGCTGGTGACGCCAGGAAAACTTGAATAACTCTGTCAACGTTAAGACTTATAAACAATCACATACCAGTATGTTACATAAAGTGGGCGTATGTAGATGTATGTTAGGTTTAAATTATTGTCCTATTTTATTTATATTATTATAAATTCTTATCATAATAAAACGTTTTATATATGTGCTGTTTTATCAAATATTTTGTAGCAAATTATAAATTTTTGTACTTAAATTTATATGCTTGATAAAAAAAAAATATATTTATTGGTAATAATTTACACGGATCGGATGAGTACTATCAATATGAGATTCATGGACATTATTTAATAACAAAAACAACAAATTTGACTCATGAATTTAGATTGAAACGCAGTGATTTCGGGTATTCGATTATCAATTAGCTGGAATCGTGCTGATGAATGTACTTATAATTAAAATAGGTATAATAAATTATGTAGAAGGTATGGTTTCAGTGTAAAATAAAAATAACACCTTATGCTTACTCATTTGTATAGTAAGAGTAATAATTCGAAAAAAACAGATTACTACCTTAACATATGACAAATCTATATTGATGGGAGCGAATGACGTATGAACGATTAAATATTGTATGCAATGATAGGGTATTATTATTGTTTATATTGATATATGTTCGTGTTTTATGTTTGTATCTAAAAAAAATATTTTTAACGCAAGTTATTTATGGCTATAGTAATCATGTTATAAAATATTCGATAATTCTATAGACTCTTTTCTATATAAACTTGTAAGAACTATACATTATATGACTTTAATTATCCAATGACGCAGCAAGTTATTCTTTAGACAGCTTTTGTTGTTGGTAAGAAATAATTCTTGGGCTTAAGAAAAACATTGAAATTATTAAATTTGTACGCATTATTTGTCCATTATAAAATAATTCATTTTTTATATTAAATATTCTCACTATTAGAATTATATAATTTATCAAAACTATTTGTCATAAAAAAAACATAATGACATATGTCTTCGTTTTATTATTAGTCGTATAAAAAAATTAATTTTTATATTTATTTTTTTGAATCATATTAGTATGTAACTAGAAATGTAAAAAAACTTTTTTTTCTAATTTGAAAACAAACCTGAAAAATGAAACTGTTATATTGGATTTTTTTCGTGTTTAATAAATAAGATCTATGTTGATGATTAAAAAACTCAAATACCGTTTAATTTTAGTTATTTTAGTGTGAATATTTGTTAAATAATATTTTGTAATATAACTTCATAATATACTTATTACACTATAGATACTGACATCATACAAGACATCATCAGAGGATAGTTCCGTAGTTTATAATTAAGCTACCCGAAAAATTAGTAAAATTATATGCATTTTATATAAATTTTTTTTTTAGTAAGAGGAAATTAATTTTTTTTTTAATTCGCTATCCTATTTATGCCTATTTATGTATAACAAATTTAAATATTTGATGATTTTTTAGTGTATAAATTATAAACAAAATGTATAATAAAATAGTAATTAGAGCATATAAACTCAATTCTTATTTTACTTTAAGTATTTATGCAGGGTCCTTGCTAATAAAAAGTACGGTTTAGGGAAGTATTTTGACGTTCTAACAATTTCTAGTTTTAAAAATGAGAAGGTATTAATCTGACTATGTTACTTGAGAACATTAAGGGAGGGCCAAAATGAGCATTTGCATCGGGCAGAAATTTTATAGAAGTGGTAATTTTTTCAAAAGTCGAATAAATCTTTGAAGTCGAGAATTATTTTTTTTTAAATTTATTTTAACGAATACTATTACCCAAATATAACAGGAAAAAAATATTCTCTTTAAACTTTACAACTTTTTCTTCTATTTAATAATTATAACAATTTATCATAAATTTACATACATATAATTTATGTTAATATTACATGTAATTATTTTTTCAATGTGGAAAGATTGAGATTCAAATTTTTTGGGTGATTTTATTTATTTTTTCTCCCTCAACAAAAATAGTTTTTACGTAAAAAACATATATTTAAATAAATTTCTGGGTGGCTAAATTCTAAATTGCGACTTCATCTCTTTAGACTTCCAAATCTATGTCTATGATACCGATCTAATAATGTGTTTTTTGTGTTATTACTGTTTACGCATTTTGTAAGGTACGGATTTTTATGCAAATCTAGTCTCTCAATAATCTAGTTGGAATAATTTTAATTAAAAATATCTTTGTTTTATAGTGTTTTGTCTCTAAATATAATTTTTTTTTATTTGCTTGTTAAAATATATAATAGATACATTATTAGTAATATTATCAATATATTTTTTAAAATTTTGTTTTACGTTAAAAAATTTTGTTTTTTTTACTTTATAATAATAAGTAAATAACTTAAAATTTAGGTCTGATATTATGGATGACTGTTATTATAGTGATAGTATAATTTAATAATTATTATTTTTTATTTGAACAAGAAATAAAAGCAATCTTAATATTTATTCAATAAGTACTTAAAATTTAAAATATAAATTTTAAACTAAAAAATATTTAACTCAAAAGCCGCAAAAATTACTAAAAAATCATAGATGCGTATTTCGGAAACAATATTACAATTATCCACGATAAACACATATGAAGTGGTGTCATCACTTAGAGAAAACATCATTAAGTGATAAGGTCATTAGGGGTATAAAAAGGATATTTTTCATTCGGGTTTTCAGTATGCGTTTAGTATTGATAATCCTAATAATGTTCTCCAAACTGTATCAACAATTTTTTAGTAATTTTTATAGCTTTTGACTTAAATATTTTTAGTTTTAATTTAACACTTTAATTTAATTTTTAATTTTAAATAGTATTAGCCACAAACGATCAATTCTTATCCTATATTTATATTAAATTTTAATTAAAACTCATAAATATAAAATAACCTTGTGTTATGAATTTAAAATTAATTCTTCTTTTTCCATAAAATTTAATTTCCATTTCAACTAAATATTTAAGTAATTATTAAGTTTCATGTTTCAAATATGCAAATGCATTTGTTATAAAATAAGATTGTAAAAATCAAGCAAGTTTAATAAAATTACTTTAAAAAAAATACTTTCATGTATGGAAATTGATAAATTTCATAATGACTGTAATACTATATTTTTCTAGTTAAATGCATTTAGATATCAATTAAGTTATGGATTGCAAAATACGCATTAATTGATAAATATAATTTAGCTTGGATAATAATTATTGTGATTATTAATCATAATTAGTTGTATTTATTATCAATACAAGTTAATTATTTTAAAGTAAATATTTATCTCTTTGAGACATAGTGGTATTTTATTAAATCGACATTTTTAAAACATTTTTTGTGATTATCAATTGAGATATTATATAGAAACCAATGCCTATGAAATTTTTAAAAAATAATGCGTGACCGAAAGGGTTATTGTATATAAAAAGGAAAATGCATATGGATATGTTAATTGAATTTTGACATTATTTATAATAATTATTATTATTAATATTACTAATAATAATATTAATAAGATATATTAATTTATTTTTTATTGAACATATACTACCATAAGAAATCGCTTAGTATAAAATATTTGTTTCATAGCTAAACTTATTTCATTAAAATGAACATATTCGTGCCATAAACTATAGTTCATAAGTTTTAGTTTATTTATTTAATAACTCAAAATTGTGGCTTAGATGTGTAGGAATTTGAATAATTTTTTACAATAATTAATGATAAATATTTGTAATTAATTATATGCATAATGTATGTTTTAGTAATTGTACGTTACATAAAAACCCAATAATTATAATTAATGAGCGAAGAATATAAATAATACCCGTCTAATATTAAATAAGGAGATTAATACGATAAATATTGTATGTAATATTGTAGGAAAACAAATCTAATTCATCACTATTATGTTTCTATAAAAAAAATGTTTAAGAAATTTTTTAATGGCCTAGCAAAAAAAACTAGTTTTACAAGAAATAATTATTTTAGAGTGAAAAATCTTCCAAGTAATTGTCGTTTTTATACATTAACAACTATAATTGTTTTGCTAATTATAGTGGAGTGCTTAAATTCATAGAACTAGATTTTTATTATCTGAATACTAAAAGATATAATTTTAAAATCAAATATATTTGACTTTTAAATATTATAATTATTAAGGTATGATTATAGCGTTTTATTATTTCTTATTGTTTTCTACATAAACTTTATTATTATTTATAGAAATGTAACTCAACATAATTTGGAGTCAAATAAATTTTTTACACAATTATAAACAAACGAATTATAAAAATCCTTGGTGGAACATTATGATTTAATTTGTCATTAAAACAACTGAAATATTTTTAATTAGTTTTAGGAGTGCTAAAAATGTGGATAATAGTGTTGAATTTGCAAGGTCTAAATGAGGACGTAATAAAATAGTGTAATTATTTTCGTAGCAATATTTTACTCGCATTATTAAAACAATTTTTTTTACGGAACACTTTTATGTTTAGCTCAGAAATCCTAGTAAATCCTATAATTGCTTCGCTTAAAAAAATTAAGAGTTTTTTTTATTTTATCAATTATCAGTGGCAGTCTCTATCGATAATATAAAAAAATATTTCCTCTTGACATTACATTGTGTTTTGATGTCAAAGAGGAAGTGATTTAGATGACCGGTTATATTTCAAGGTTCAAAATGTCAAAGGTGTAGTCAATATTATGGTTATCAATCAATTCAATGCTGCGTAATGCGATTAGCTGTTACCACCAGTCTAGCACCGGTAAAATCTAAAAAATCATAGTGTAAGTCTAACGGATTACTAAATCATAAGCAATAGATGTGAGTAGTAAAATTATTGGATTCGCGCAATAATTTTATCAGTTTTTTATCTAAATATTTTAAAATAGATGAGCTGAACTCAACCAGCATGTCGACTTCAGATTGCTACTGCATGGTGTTTATACAGGATGACGGCGACCTTGATATCCGCACGTCTGTGTATTTTGTTACTTTTTTCGTTATTCAAGTTTCCGTCTCTGTTTAAACCACATCAGCCGTCCCCATACATTGCGCAGTGCGCTAATACAGAATCGTTCGGACGGAATTATCGCCGGTCGAATCCATTACATTCGTGTTGATCTGTGGGCCGAACGGTCGCATGAACTTGCATTGTACACTTGGAACCGCGTTGCAATACGTATCGAGACTTGATTGTTTTTAGCTCACCGTCGATGAATTGTCGCCCCCATGCCGCTCATCGATCTAGTATCGACGTTTTGTTACATCACCGCCACCTGCATCACCACAGACATGCAGGAAAGAAGACCCATAGCAGCACCTCTTATTGGGACTAGACAAACGATGAACATTCCTATGAGATCGACTTTACCTCCAGTGTTAATTACTTCAACGGTGTCTAGTTCTGCTCCAATAGCCGCGTCCAGCGAACTGATACCACTCACTCTCAACATTAATTCCATCCCGGCTCAAAATTCTCTGACCCCTGTGGTAAACTCAACAGCAAATGGTAATTCCAAAGTTTCAAATAACTCCAAGAACGCGGTAAATTCCAAAGTTGTTCCAAACTCCAAAGTAACATTCACCTCTAAATCAGGTTCTGATACCCGCAAGAATATTCGTGAAAGTTCACCGTATCCTACACGGTACGATTACATTGATGTGGAAACTGTGATGAACAATGAGAGAATAGTTAAAGCATTGTTTAATTGCGTTATGGAAAAAGGACCGTGTACTAGAGAAGGCTTGGAATTAAAAAGTAAGCGGTTAACTCATTGTAATAACAGTTAAAAAAAAAACGATGCAAATCGAGCATTTCAATTGAACCAAAAAGAAAATCAAAACTTTTTTTTCATTTTTCTCTATACAAGGTTAAATCTAAACTCAAAACGTTAATTTAAAATTTGAAAAATAAAAAGTCGAATATTTGTACACTATGTGTATCACATATAGTTTTAATTAAACCACATAATTTATAATTAGAATACGGAACGCTATAACATAGACACAACCTGTGGACTAGGTACAGGTTTAGCCTCCAGTTAAAAAATTAACCTTCCAAATATTTAGAAAATTATATGTATGTACAATACATTGAGGATCGTTGAGCATTTTTTTTAGTACCCACAAAAATTGTATTCTAGTTGCATCTATGCATTTTAATTAACAAGATTCATCACGTACTCACAGTCTTTGATTCTTCACCCTGTTTTGGACTGTCACTTTTTACAAATTCATATTTTGGAAATACTTTAAATGCTGAAAGTTTATGTATATCATTCAGCTTCTATTAAAAATTAGTTTTATAAAAAAAAAAGCTGTACATAATAAAATTTGCTATCATTCCTCTTAGTTAATAGTTATATATGTATTCTATTGTTAGAATACAAAGAATTAAAGTGCATTTCATAAGTTTCTAATAGTGCATCACATGCTATTCATAAAATGGTAACAATATAAAGAACAAAAAAATAATTGTTAAAATGATATTACAAAACATACAATGTTATAGTAAGTCGAGAAACAAATTATAAATATTTATTATACTAATATATTATTATCTATTAATATATTATCAAATTGAATATAGTTGGACGAGTTTAATAATCATTTGTTTTTTGCGCATTGATTAATCAATTTTCTTATTATGAACATTTTTTATTTTTTAAAGATAAAATAGTGTTAATATCATAATTTCTAAAAATAATAATAATAATAACTAAAGGGAATCTTCTCAAGTTTCAATTAACTTGAAATGATTGTTCAATTGATTATTTTATAACAATAATTTTAAATTTGGGCTAAACAATGAGCTTAAAATATATCCGATTTTATGGAAAACAATTTTTTATTAAATTATATCAACAAACCAAAATATTTGTTATTACGACTAAGAAAACTTAGTCGTATAATAATGAACAAAATCCAATCACCAAATGATCATTAGTTATTGTCTAACCAATTAAAATTATCTTATTATGCAATCTAGTAGTTTTTATGATTTAATAATTTAAAAAGGACACGTTTATAACTTTGTGTAATACTAAATTTGAATTAATATACTATTCAAAGTCAATAAAATATTTAAATATTATTTGTATAGTTAAAATACTCAAAGTGGTTTTAAAATATATTAAGGACATTAAAACAGAAAACGTCATAATATTTAACTAAAAAAAAAAAAATTACCAATAAAAGAATATTAATAAAAATTAAAGTTGCAAATGAAAAATTTTAACATGAAGCACGTAATTGCTAATTTTATATTAAATAAATATTTATTTAGTAAAGAATTTAAATTAAAATCATCTTAGATTTCTTAATTGTTTTTATGAATTATTTAATTTAATTTTAATTGGTTTGATGTTCGTATCATAAAATATTTGATTAAGGACCTATCAACTAGTTAGTTAAAAATAAATTGTGTTTTTTTAAATAATATAATGTTTCTGAAAAAATTTCAATTTTAATTTCTATAAATTAGTGAGGAAATTCATCTGTCTGACAATTATTTATTCTTCAAGTATTCTACCCAACATAAATTTTATTTATAGAAGAAAAAACAAATCGTTTTCCGTATATTAATTTATTAAGTGTTCAGCTTGATATTAGTTAAAAAAAATATAATCAAGTTTTTCCAACTCAGGTAAGATACAAATACAATTCTTAAAGTTAATATAAAATGAATTTTTTTGTACTATAGTTCAAACCAGTTATTATCGATTTATAAATAAATACATAGTTATTGCATAATAAGTGGAAACATTATTTAATTTAAAATAATGAAGGTATTATATATCTCAAGCTTCTACGATGGTTTTTGTTAAATCAGTTTTCTCAATTTCAGGAATCATACCAGATGCTTTGCAAACGGAATGTGCTAAATGTACTGATCGCCAAAGAAAGCAAGCCGGAAAAGTTTTAGCTCATTTGATGCATTACAAACCTGATTATTGGAAAATGTTATGGGAAAAATTTGATCCTAATAATGTTTACTTGAAAAAATTTTTAGTGGACGAAAAAGAGAATGCTGTTAATAATACCATAAGAACAAGCAGAAAAATATAACAAGTTTAATCAATTTTTTTGAGTTAATAATATATTTATTAATATATAATATTATTGTATGTTAGATACACAATATAAATTATTTCCCCAACCGGTTTAATAACATGTGGAATATTTGCTCATATTGTAAATATAAATTTATTAATAGTAAAAATCAATATTTTATATTGAATAATAATAATAATTTTGCATTATATTTTTTTTGTACTTGTACGTATTGAAATATTTGAATTTTTTATTTTTGTGATAATTATGGCTAGGGCTAGAATTACAATGCACTTCTAAATTATCATTTTATTCGACCAATATATAAATTTAAACGAATCTATAGACTAGCAGGTGATAATTTCTAAAACTACACTTTCCTAACGAAAAATCGTATGTACGAAATAATTCGGAAACTCTTACAATTTTTTTTTTTATATAAAAAAACTTTTATTTTGTATTTTTCAGATGTTTTATTTTTAAGACGTTCTTACTTTTTTAATAAGGACATAAGAATCGCAATGAATCTTTAACTTTATTTTGAATAAAATTAAAGACAAAATTATTGTTTGAGGTAAAATAAATTGATTAAAATCAAAATAAAATATGTGAAAAAATGTAAAAAGTTAATATTATTAATAAAATATTAACTTAGTTTTTTATTTATAAAAATTGTTATTCTTTAATTTTTTTTATGTTACATAAAAAAAAAATAATGAGAAATTTTAGGCAATACTATACATGAAAAGAAAATCTATTAGTAAACATTCATGTGTAAATTTATACAACGCAATTTGAGTTATTTTTTGTAATATATTCATTATTATTTAAAAAGTATAATTATATGTAATTAAATTGTATTTAAGTCAACAATATTTATTTATTTTTTACTTTTTTATGTTTTCTAAATATTTTATCTCGATCTCGTATAAGTTTGCATACTTNATACAAACGGTAAAGAAATTACTGAAAAAAGCAATGGATTCCGGAAAAGATCCTCATATTGCTTTATTACAATACAGAAATACTCCAAAAGGTAAATTGTGTTCTCCAGCACAACTGTTAATGTCTAGAAATCTAAGAACTAAAATTCCTGTCACTAATTCTTTTCTTAAACCTAAACTTGTTAACACTGATATATATAAAAATTTAATTTTTAATAAAAATAAAAATTCAAAATATTATTATAATAAGAAATCTAAACAGTTAAGTGATTTAGTAATTAATGATAACATATTATTTAAACTTAAATCTGATAGTGATTGGTCACCTGGTAAAATAATTAAAATTTGTAATGAACCCAGGTCTTACATTATACAAAATGATATTGGGCAAAAATATAGAAGAAATAGGAAACACATTATTAAATCTGCCATTAAACACAATGATTATTTATTAGATAATAATGTTAAAACTAATAAAGAAAATAATATTTTTAATAAGGATCTCAATACTACAGTGAATAGACAGCCTGAGATTAATAGGTATGGTAGAAAAATCGTAAAACCTAAGAGATATTTGTAGTATTTGTACTATCATTTAATTAATTATTTAAATTGTTATTATATCCTATTATTGTATATATTATATTTGTTGTATTTGTATACTTGATTGTTAATATAACAGATTTTAAAAAAAAAAAAGGAGCATGTTACATAACTGGTCAGACTGTTATCATTGTTGATAATATATACTTTTGTGTCTCGTGTATCTCATATACACTGTCTTATGTATAACTATTATTAATTGTAATATCATGTCTAATTAATATAATATAATTATCTTTTCATCTGTTCACATCTTATTATAGTTTAATTAAACAATAATATAACACTTATATTTTTATTGAAATTGCATATATAATATTATTTGACTAAATGTTTGATGCTCAGTATTTAAAGAACCACTGAACAAGAAACTTTGTGTCTGTTAGATATTTTTTTGATTTTATATCACCAAAAAATATATAATAACATTTAAAAATATTATATTTTAAAATTTAGTTTAAAATGTTTTGTTATATTTATCTGTTATATGTATTAAGAAATACTCTGACATTACTTGTTTCTGGACCCAAATATTTAATTCGTGTATCAATTATTACTAAAATAACTTATTTTATTAAATTTTATGTAAATAATGAGCTTTATATCAAAATCTTAATATAAATTTCTTATTAAACTTAAGTTTAAAACTTAATTTAAGGACAATTGTCTCTAATTAGGTAAATTCTATGAGATACCTATTTAATTATATTAACATTAAATATTGAGCATTGAGATACTTAATGGTCACAATATAAAGCTAGTTCCAAGTGTGATCATATAGTTTTAATTCTACTTTTTACAATAATACTTTACTTTACAAATAAAATTATAATGTAAAATAATGTATAAAAATACATTAAAAAGGTGTTGTTTTTATACTGAATAAATTTTTTGAAGAATGGTGATGGGCAGATAAAGCAATGCGGTAGAGAAGTTTTTTGTCGAGTTTTTTATCCAAATTTATGAAATAGAATATGGGTTTGTAATTCCTACACATAAAATGGTAGCCAGCCAAATTTTTATAACTTTTAGATAAAAAAATTTGTAGCACGTAAATTATTATAATGATGTGTAGTTTAACGGTAATTTATTGTTGAGTCATATATTTTACTAATTATAAACAAATTTTTTAAAAATATAGTACATTACTCCAGTAGTACAAGTAAGGGCTAAGTTAGAGGAATTTAAATCCGATCAAGATACAAAAGCGATTTTTTAATTTAATCAGCAGATGATCTTCTATTACTCATTAAGCTTTTTAGATATTTTTTATCATATGACTGGGATGATAATGCATGATTTAGAGATTTTATATAACAAATATTACCTCATTACTCTACCAGGAATGACAGCCAAGTACAATACTGGATCAGTTCTTAGAGAAGATGCTAGTCAATACTACGCTAGTACGAACAAGCCATTGGTTAGGTACCAGTACTAATACAATACTTCATCCGTCGTCAATACTGGTACTTTACAATATTTTCTGCTTAGGCTATCGACTATAAAATCAAAATTGAATATAATGGACTTTTACAGTTTTTTTGCTGCACCCTTCATATTTTTATTCTACGATTATTGATTTTGACTCTCATACCTAATGTTAATATATTCTTGGATAATATGCTACAATTTTATAGGACAATAAACACATATGAAACCTGTAAAAGCTACCCGAGGGTTCGCTCAAATTACAGTAACTTGGAGCGTTTGCCTTAGATAATCACTTACACTTAACTTACAGGAGAACCAAGCGTGTAATTATAGTTACACGCTATATATATATATGTACATGATAATCATAAATTAATAATTATTTATTATGTGTTTAACATCATAAATAATAATTTACGCTGAAAAATATTTCTAGATAATATAAAATTAGACTATTTCAAACTGTTTAGAACAAGTATTAGTATTAAATGTTGTTAAACGGACCCTCTAAGATTATATTTTTTTAGAATCAGGGAAACTTAAAAAAATAAATATAAAAATTATAAATTATAAATTTTCTGATTAGAATACATCTAGATAGCTATATAATAATAGTTACTGAAATATAACTTAAAAATATACACAATTATTTTTTGAAAATTAGTGACCTGTATATCAGGGTATCCTGGGCAGCTACCTCAAAATGCAGCTATAAGAGTGAAACTATGATTTAAAGACTTATTCATCGATGAAGCCATTTAAATTTGAATAAATATTTTTTGAGATGTTATTTATTATTTACTATATAACGAGCAAAGAAATTTTAATTACAAAAGCATATAACTTTCGTACATAATAATGATTTTGTATTACAAAATTGTGGTTTTTTAGAATATTTACATATACATTCATGTTTTCAATTTTGTGCTGACGATTCGAACTTGTTGTAGAGTCATTATCGAAGCGACGGTTACAAATCCCCAAGGTTATAACTATACTCAACATTTTTTTTGTTATTTATTTTATTTGATAAAATTTGTATTGAATAATCAGTTATATATTAATGTGATAATGAATATTCCACATTTTTTTTATAATAATGCAATATCTAAAAAGTTTTTAACCACAATAGCAGATAAATAAAAAAAATAATACGAGGCATCTAAAGCTAATATAATCAAAATTAAAAAAGTAAATTTTTTTATAATTGAACTTATAAATTGAAAATTGCAAAAATTTTTAGTGTAGATTGGTTTAAGGAACCGATGACAAATATCTCTATATTTTTAAAAATCTGGCGTGGTTAATTAATTCACCCAATAATGTGGTTATTTTACTTTTTAGTTTCATACTTTTTAAACTTAACTCATATAAACCAGCCTAACTTTATAAGAATCGAGGAAGGTCCAAAATGGGCCGAGGCAACCAAAAAGCAAAACCGGAGCACCATGGATTTTGTATCTTATCCTAGGGAGAAAAAGATTCTATAATTAACCATGTGGAATTAATATAACAATTATTAAGATTTATTTTATAAATTAATTATATAATAAACATTACCAATAAAATTAAAAGTGGTTATTAAAACTAAATTAACCAATAAAATAAAAAAAAAAACAATATTAACAATTAAATTATGGACAAGGACGCCATAGGAAATATGCATAGGACGACTAAGAAATTGGAGGATTATTCGAAAAATAAAGAGGGTAATATATTTAACTAGACACTTTTATGTGATTATTTGACATATTGTTAAAAATTTTGTTCAAATGAGAACTGAGAAAGATAAATAACAGACACAAAAAAAAAACAACATGGTAAAATATATTTAATATGAAAAATAAATTTCTATTTACGAGAGGTGACTAGAGTGATGGGGTCCTTGATATTCATTGAAGTCATAAAATCTAAATAAGATAAAAATCAAACGAGTTAAACATTTTTTTCTAACTCAAAAACTCATTTAAGTCATTTTAAAATAAAATACAAAATCGAAAATTTTAACACAAAAATAACAAATTTTTGATTACGGTAGCCATTTTCGCCATGAAGACAAAATGAAGTTCGAAATTTTTTTTCCATATTAAAGTTAACTACATAAGCTTTAATTTAAAGTATATAAAAGTGTCAGTATTTCCGGAACATTTTCAAAAGTTAAGTTGAAAAATTAATTTTTTGTGAAAAAGATGTCATTTTCAATTCTCTCTTGTGGGCAAGTGAAGAGTCAGATTAAAAAAATATATATACCAAATGATAGGTAAATACTTAATATATCTATTAAAAAAAATTGTATTAATCCTTATATTTTTCAAAAAGTTATAGCATTATAAAGTTATAAATATAAAAAACACTTTTTTATAAAAATTGTATTTTTTTTTATTAACTTTGATGATTGTTTTCACCATGAAAACAAAATAAGTTCGAAATTTTTATTTTCATATTTAAGTATATTACATAAGCTTTAATTTAAGATATATATAAAAATGTTAGTATTTTCGAAATATTTTCAAAAATTAAGTTAAAAAAGATCTACTTTTTGTATGCATTTTTAAGTTTTAAACCCTCCCTGTATAAAGGAAAATGGTTCAATTAAAAAAAAAAGTATGTCAATTGAAAGTGGTTTATAAATAGTATTTATTATAAAAAAATTATATTAATCAATACATTTTTATAACTTTTTGCAAAATTGAAACATTTTTTTGATAAAGTTACAGTAAATAGTAATTATACAATTACCTGACTGCATATCAATCTTAACAATATTATTTTTTTAATTCTCATAACATTTTCTATTGAATAATGTAAATTTCAATCTTGAAGTTAAGCTAAAAGTTATGGTAACAAATATAACTTTTTTTTTTTATAAACTTTCAAAAAATCAAAATTAAAAG